TTCTATCTACCAAGGTCTTTGGCGAATGATGCCAAAGATTCAAGATGGTTGTGGTTTGGTTGAAGGTTTTTGAAATGCTTTTTTTCTTTATTGTTTTTTCCATTTGGGCGTCTTCTATTGTTATCTATTGGAAAAATTCGCTGTAGCATTGAAAATTGCATAGCATTTGTTCTCTGCTTTATTTGTTCTGGCTAGTGTTTGGTATCTATTAAACTTCCGTATTTGAGTTGTTAGTATTTAAGACTCTTAATCTCTTAGTCGCATGTTCGAATCTCAGAGGTATCCGATTTTTTTTAAGTTCGAGGCTTATTTCTAATTTTTTATTGCCTTTTTAGATATACTTTTTGTTGTGTTCTCGCTAACTCCACCTCTGTGTAACTGCTTATGCTTCTAATGGTCATGCGGTTTCTTTGCAAAAGTAACGGAATATTTGTGGTCGGGGGTAATTTTTTTTTCTGCAGGCAAGTTTCGACTTTTCAACTAGCCATTTTTGACGGAAATTTTTTTATATCATTCAAAAAGTTTTTTTTGTCCTGAGCTGAAATTTGGAAAGATATTTCACCTGTGATCATTTTTCGTAAAGTTATGTTGGTGTAAAAATTGCCAATTTGGGACAATTAATGCGCGATATATTTCGCGCTATTAACGCGTAAGCGGAGATTTAATCCGTCATTGAAATCATAACAAATTGATTGAAGGAACTGCATTTAATATGGCGTGCTGGGAGATGATTTTCACAAAAAAGACTCAAATTGAAAAAAAAATCATTTTTGTACGTTAAACTTTTTCATGTTATTACTGCTCCATCCATAGACTGCTCTATAAACTGAGGTATGTTAGTTGGTAAGTTTCGTTTTGACTGGTACTGCTAATGCGTCATAATTGGCGTGGGTCACTTCAGAAATTTAGAAGACTCAAAGTTTTACTTATGCAGTTTTTCCCAGTAGCGTTATCGGTCATTTTTTGCTTGTGTATGCGAAGTGCAACTTCGGCTCTTGTTGAAAAATGGTTTGAGTTGGAGATTCTTGAAACAAATGATCTTTTCAAACGAGTTTTTCCTTTTTTAATACTTTGAGTATAAATTGTGTCAAATTGTGATTTTTTATTGAGCTCTCATTTCTTATAGTTTCTAACTTTGGCTTAGAACTTAAACTTAAATTTTATGAACCCATCGAAGGAACTTATACTGGTCGTGATTGTTTTTTTTTCAGCCAAAAATCTCCGGATTTGATCATGCTCAAGTTGGCAGTTTGAATTTTCATTTTTTTTTTCAATTCAAATTCAAGTTTATTTGCTAAAAGAATTTTTCCAATCAAGTAAATGAAAATGGCGCAAAAAAAAAGCGAAATTTGATTTTAATTTTTATATATCCCAGCGGATAAAGAATAATAAAATGATAAAGAGTTACCTATCGACCCAGTTATGCAGTTAAAATGGCTAGTTTTATCAATAACATCTCTTTTACCCTTGCGATAAGTTCGGAAGCTCGTCTAAGGTAGTATCTTGTTTTTCAAATAAACTTAAATGAAAAAAAGATGGGTTTTTAGCATTGTGAGCTTCGTCCTAGTTTCCGTCGGCTCATTTCACCTTTTTTAAATGGTAGTTTACGGATCTACTTTCCAAGGCATGTTTTTTATTGATTTAAGCAGTTTTACTATTATTGAAATTTCTGTAATTTTTTTTGCTCATTTTCGTTTTTTTTTTCTCGATTGAACGGTTTCGGATTTAGTTACATCATCTTCGTGGAATTATTTAACGTATTTTCGATGGTAAAATATTTTGTTGTTTTTATGTGTTTCGTAAAAGGTCTTAAACTTTATAGCTTACAATTTTTTTCTGACCGCAGTTTTTTTTCCGCCCAACATGTTTTTTATTCTGTTCTCTGTACAAATTTTTCATCATTTTCAAGTTTTGTCTTTACAAATTCTTCATTATTGAACCTTGACATCTGCCTTGTTTTTTCCCACTTGGCTTAGGCGTAACTCACGTCTTTTTAAGCGTTTTCTCCCGCTTGGCTTAGGCGAAAAAACTTCAATTTCAAATTAGAATTTGCATTGACCTGTTTTGCTGGTCTGAATAAAGTAGTTTCATTGTCGTATCAATTTAATACCACTATGTTCATTTTCTGTTACCTACGTTAAAATATGCTGGCAATTTTTCTGTTGTTTTTTTTCTAATCGAGATAAGCTGTTTAGTTATTTGATTAGACACATATATTTATCTTTCAGTACAAATTTCGTGGCCTAGGCTTAAAACAGTGTTTGGAACATTTAATATAATAATAATAATTTTTTTTCGGTTTTATAGGTGTGTATTTTTCAAATATCTGTTGTTTCCCCATATTTGTTGCAAAAATGTAGCTTTTAAGTTTCAGTTAACGAAGTGAAGACAACATTTTTGGCCCGACTTATTCTTTTCTACCAGGAAAATTTTTCGTTTTCCCCAGGAAGTAATTTCAAACTTTACTTTTCGAGATTTGATTTCTTTTTCAAGGAAATTCTAAAAGTTTGTTCACGCCTTTCACGCCTTGTTCACGCCTTTCTTATCAAATTCAATTCAATTTCCTTAGCTATCAGGAAGGCAAATTGCGCTATCCAATAACGAAAGCGCAAATGGCGCGAAAAATTATGAGTGACTTCTAGATTCGAAAATGACTTTAATAGTTTGACTTCCGCAGTGAATATTAATATTAATTATTGATTTAGATTTCTCAAATAGGTTAATTTATAAGAAAAAAAGAGTCAGCCAAAAGTTCTCGAAATTCAAAAAATTCAAGTTCTAAGTTCGAAACGGCCAGTCATTTTTAAAAGACTTCTTGAGTTAATTGTTTTTTTTACTGTCTGTTGGCTATGTTCAATTAAATTCAAATTCGTTTGATAAAAGGATGTCAAGTTACACTCTTCTGTGAATGTGCAAAAAGTGAGAATATTTGAATGAATATTTTTCGAAAGTAGAGTTTAATTTTTAGATTTCCCTGGCCTAGTTTCCCTAATTGGAGTTTTTTAATGAAAGAAGTGTTAGTCGTAAAAAATTCTTGAAATATAAGAGATTGAAATTCTTAATCTAGGCTTTTTAAAGCTAGTTTTGGTGCCCTGTGATCGAATACTGATAGTAAGATTTGTTTCGGTAGTTGTAAAAAAAATTTATACATGTTCAGTCTATTTGATTTGTCCTTTTTGGCCTTCTTGTCATCGGCCAGTTCTGTCTCGTGTTTATAGTCTCTCTTTGTTTTCTCTCTTTCTCTCTAAATTTATTCTATTTTCCTTCTTTCTATGTCATTTCACTCATTCTCAAGTCAGTGGCTTTGGGAAAATATGATGGATAAGCTTTCGCTCCGAAGATCGAATATTGCAATGGTTAAGATTTTTTTTTTCGATTTTCCTGTTTGAAAACTTTACCAAGTTTGAAAGTAGCAACCCAATAGTGAGATGCTTTCACGGTTTCCCCACATGTTGCGATTTCGGCCTCCATATATCAATAAGCAATTCTTTTAGGTTGAGAGATGCGGCAACTTTCGAGATTTTTCAAAAATTTCTAGATAATTTTAATTTTAAAAGTTTCTGAAAAAATAAAATTCGCAATGCTGTAGTTGGAGGATGTCAGGGTAGTCTCAGGGGTTGCGAATCTTGCCTCCAAATATTACTTCTCAAAGCCTTGTAGTTTTCGAGATATGACATTTTTTTAATGATTTTTTCAAAAACTTTGAAGATCTCAATTCTGTAGTTGGAATCAGTGAGGGTACTCTCAGGAGTTGCGAATCTTGCCCCTGAATATGACTGCTCAAATCCTTGTAGTTTTCGAGATTTGATGTTTTTTAGGATTTTTTTTCAAGATTTTTAAAAGAACTTAGATATAAGTAATTTTACAAAGTATAGGCTCTTTCAGGATACTCCCAGAAGTTGTGAATTTTGTCTCCAAATTTGACTGCTCAAATCCTTGTAGTTTTTGAGATATGACGTTTTTTGTGATTTTCTTGAAAAATTTTCAGAAAACTTAAATTTAACTTCATTTCTTCTAAGCTTGAATTTTCCAACCCTTTAGGTCGGGGCTGTCAGAGTGGTATCAAGGTCTCAGATGTTGCGAATCTTGCCTCCAACTGTGACTGCTCAAGTCTTTGTAGTTTTCTAGATATGACGTTTTTTGTTATTTTTTCAAAAAATTTTCAGAAAACTTAAATTTATTTTTTTTCTTCAAATTCTGAAGTTCCTAACCCCCTGTAGTTGGGGGCTGTTTGAGAACTCTCAGGGATTGCGAGAAATCTTGCCTCCAATTGTGGCGGCTCAAGTCTTTTGGCTGTTTTCGAGATATGACTTTTTTCTGTTTTTTTTTTCAAAAAAGTTTATAGAAAACTTTGAAATTCCCAACGCTGTAGTTGGGTACTGTAAGATCTCTCTCAGGAGTTGCAAATCTTGCGTCCAAATGCGACTGCCCAATTAATTTTAGGTTCCGAGAAGTGATGTTTCTTAATTTTTCAAAGATTCTAAAGTTTTTCAAAGAACTTGGATATAGAAAACTTGATGGTTTTAAAAAAATTTGAATTGAAAAAACTTGTATAGAATTTTTTTTTCAAAATTTGAAATTACCAACCCTGTAATTTGGTGCTGTCAGAGTACACTCAAAAGATGCTGATTTTTTTTCCAATATTTACGGTTTTTTATGAGTTGTTAAAAATTCGAAGCACCGGAGGTGCGGTACTCGCTAGTACTTGATGATATGCAGATATACAATTTTTTCAAGATTGAATTTTTTGATGTCGCTCTCTTCAAATGTCCTCTCTATCTTTTTCAAGGTAACTGTGGTGTTATTTGGCTGATGTTAGACCTTGATTTTCACAACCATCGACCTGATATAACGATCAGTATTTTTGACTAAGGTGTTCTGATTTTTTGCCCGTGTATTTGTTCTCATTTTTTGAGTATTTTAAAGAGTTGACAGAAGTTGCTATAATGACAAGAAGTACATGTGCAATAAAGCCATCTATTTTTATTATATTTTCAGATTAATTGAGATGATTGCGTATTCGTGTATAGCGAGAGGTGAAACCATTTTAGTTGACTGTAGCAATATAGAAGACCAGAACTACAGGGAAGTGGTTGCTTCCATCCTGCCCAGCTTCCCCTCACGAGGTACAGAACGCAAGACGTCCTACAACGCCAAAGAGTAAGACAACATCGGATATTTTTCAGCTGTCTAATTGATTTGACCACGGACGTATTTCGCTAGGAGGCTGACCTAACAAAGAACCCTCATTATCATTGAACCCTACACTAATATAATCGAACTGATCGTTTTGGTGATGTCGTACTGTATTATTGTTTGGACCATGCTAAGTGACTAAGAACTATAGCCTAGAGTTATTTTTTTTGCTCAATTTTTGATAACCTCAAAAAAATTGGCAAGCAAGCAAGTTGAGCGTCATATACGGCTCTCTCTTTCTCTCTCTCTCTCTCTCTCTCTCTCTCTCTCTCTCACTTATATTCTCTTGGGTGTCGAGAAAACTCGCTTGAAAGGTTCACTTATTTACTACATGGGTATTAAGTTTTATTTTTTATCCTCAATCTGGTATTGCAACCGGGTAGTAGGCTTAAATCCCGTAAAGAATTTTGCTACAGGATGAAAGGATAAATGAAATTGTTGTTTGTCCCCAATTTTCGACATGGTAGTCTACTAGCGTCTAATTGTGTTTCCTACCTAGTGCAGTGGTTTTTTGTGTCTATATACAGTGGAAAAGACTCGTTTCTATGTACATTTTTTATTTACAAAGTATTTCACATAACTTTGAACCATTCATTGTTGATGCTCCACTTTTTTTGCAGTTACAGTAGGTGTTTGTGAATGAATGCATAAAATTGAACTCAAATTCTGAGGTCACCACATGCTGACTTTTCTCAGTTAATTGTTTTTTTTTCGGAATGGACTTTTTGATTAAATTTAGTCCCTTAGAATAACCAAAAGATTCTCATCTCAATTGGAGAAAGTAGCTGAATTGGGTGGCCATTGCAAAATTTGCACCCAGTTGGGATATCCAGTTTTTGGTGTATCTGAATGTGTGCGCTAAAGTAGTGTGTGTGTGTGTGTGTATGTGTGTGTTGTCAGCGCCCTCTTTGATGATCAGGGGGGAGATTAGAGTCTCCCTATCTGCCGGAGGAAGTAGATAATTCTGTCGGGGTTGTCTTGGAGGGCCGTGACCGACGGGTTGTCTTCGAGGGTTTCTTGTCTTTCTTCATTCCTTTTCTGGCACCTGACTAGCATATGTTCGGCACTCTCAGGCTCGTTTGCGTCGCAGTGTGGGCAAATATCCGATTTTTCCCGCCCGAAGCGGTGTGCGACCTGTTGGAGCCAGGGTGCTCTGTTCAGTCTCAGCTGGTGTAGCGTGATTTCTTCTTTATGGGTTCTGTTTTCGTCTTGTGGGAGTCTCTTGCCTTTTGTTGCTCTGGCGTGAAAGCCTTCTTGGTCCATGTTGTCATAGTAAAATTGGTCTTCGGTGTCGATGGTGTCGTCTCTGATCTTGTGTCTCACGCATTGTCCTGGGCCAACTTTGGCTAGTCTCTTCCTGCTGACCGATCTCCAGTCGGGTCTGAAAGTAGTTTCTCCTCTCGATTTCAGGCGGGGTCTGGAGACAGGCGTGAGTAGGGGCTTCAAGTGGTGGCATTCTGGCAGGCACTCGATCTTCGACAGCAGGTTGGCTCCTTCTGCTTCGGCGATGGTGCGAATTCTCGGCAGACCTGCTTCAGTTCTCGTCTGTCGGGCTGGTGAACCTGCTGGGGCGCCCACTATAATTCTCGCCGCTGCATAGTTCGATGATTCAATGCTCGCTGCGCTTGTATCGCTCAGGAAAGGAAAGAAAACTCCAACGCCGTACGTGCCGCTCGGTCTGACGTACCCGTCGTAAAGTTGGCGGAGGTCCTTGGCCTTCAAGCCCCAGTCTTTTCCACTGAGGGCGAGTAGGATCTTCGTTCTGTTCTGCATCTTCTTTATGGCTTGCTTCGTGTGTTCTGTGAAATTCAGCTGGGGGTCGAGGGTGATACCCAGCGACACGGGGTTCTTGCTGTAGTTGACTTGCTTGTCGTAGATCTTCAGGAGAGGTTGAGACTTCCCCTCAGTCTCGCGCGGGGCCAGAGATAACCAGTGCTTCAGTCTTGCCAGCGTCCAGGTCGATCTTCATGTAGTGGTCTTCGGCCCATTTTCCTATGCAATCCAGGGCAGGTTGCATTTTCGCGGCCGCCACCTCTGGTCCTGGGTCACGGCTGTCAGGTCGTCGGCAAAGATGTCAACTGTCGTCTCGGGGGCAGCAGCCTGGATCATCGGGGGGAGAGAGGCAGTGGCAAGGCAGAACAGCAAGGGCGACAGGGGACTGCCTTGCGGGACTCCTTGTTGAAAGACCTTGTAGGAGCTGGTGCTTTCGTTCCACCTGACGGCTGATACTCTATCTGTCAGCCAGGCTCTGATCCAGTGGAGGGTCATGGGAGGACACCCGTACGTGGCCAGGTCTCTCAGGAGGCCGGTCCGCCAGACGCGGTCGAAGGCGGCGCGGAAGTCAATGCCAACTACAAGTGATCTCTTTCTGTGTTGTAGCCCATCAAACGCTCTCTGGGTGACGCTAGCGATGACGTCCAAGGTGCTCCTCCTCGGTTGGAAACCGGACTGCTGCTCGGGGATGATCTTGTTATCCCATGCCCATTTCTTCAATCTCTTCGTGATTATCGTCTCCATGACTTTGGAGGTCACTGAGAGCAGGGAGACGGGTCTGTAGCTCTTCACCTGGTTGGGAGGCTTGTTCTTCTTCAAGATCGGCACGATGATGGCTCTTCTCCAGTTCGCTGGCACTCTTCCTTCTCTCCAACTTCTGTTCAGGATGTCGAGAAGGCGTTCTCTACCTGCCGCGGGAAGGTGCTTGAGGGTCATCGGATGGATCTCGTCTGCTCCGGGGGCGTTCTTCTTCAGCTTGCTCGTGACACTAATCAGCTCGTCCATAGTGAAATCTTCTTCTTCGATGGGGGCGGTAACTGCTCTGCGGTCCTTGTTGTAGGCGTCCTTCTCGTGGACTCTCTCCACTTTCAGACGGCTAACCCTGGCGTACGCTTTCACAGTCGCCTCGGCTTTCTCGCGTTCGATGGCCCTCTCTTTTCCGTCTTCGATGATCGGAACACCGGGCAAGTTGCTTCTGCTCCTGCCGTCCATCGCCTTCATCGTGTTCCACACTTTCGTGGAAGGGATGGACGGTGTCAGCTCCGAAGCGAAGGACTTCCATGACTCTCCTTTCTCGGTGATGATTGTCTTCTCCAGGTCGAGGCGAGCCTGCTGGTAGATGCTGATGGCTTCCTCCGTCCTGCTCGTCCTCAGTCTTCTCAGTGCCTGGTTGCATTCTCTCTTCGGCGCTGCACACTTCTCGTTCCACCATGGCTTCGAGGCCTTCCCGGAGGAGGAGGGAGTAGACTTCTTGGCGGCTTGAAGAATCATCTCAGTGAACTTCTTGCAGTCTTTGTCAAGGGACTGCTCGGGCCTCTTATTGCTGGTTGCAGGTCTGCTTGTAGACATCCTAGTCTGTCTTCGTGTAGTTCAGTCTCTTCGACGGACGTCTCTCTTCGGTCTTCTGATCCGTCGAAATCAGCAGCGGCAGGTGATCAGAGCCGATAGAGTCAAGGACCTTCCAGTTGAAGAGGTGGGCCCTCCTGGTCTTCACGAGGGTGACGTCAGGCGACGAGGCGGCTCCTCTTCCTGAAACTCTAGTTGGCGCGTTGTTCAGGGTCGTGAAGTGTCTGTCGGTAAGCCACTCGTCCAGCTCATCTCCGAGGGTGTCCGTAGTCAGCAGGTCGTCCCAGGAAACGTCGGAGCAGATCACAGTGCTCTCCGTGTCGGGCCAGTGCTCTTTCGTCGCGCGCGGGGGGCCTGTAGATGTTCCAGATGTCCAATTCGCCTTTCTGGAACTGAACTCGGACGCCGAGTGTCTCCAAGGCCGCTCGATGCGGTGTCGTCAATGAACCGAGAACCTTCTTGACTGTCACCGTGTTGCAAATCAGGATGGCTAAGCCGCTCTGGGGGAGCTCACTCGCCTGTGTTCTGTGGACCTTTCTTTCTTCTGTGATGGCCGTGTAGTTGGGCACTTTCGGAGCTTCTGTTTTCTTCTTCAGTTTGGTTTCTTGCAGCACCACTACCACGGGTTTCAGCTCATCCAGGATCTTGTTGAGGACTGTGTTCTTGCCGCGCCAGCCATCAATGTTAAGTTGCAGGATAGAAGCTGCCTTGCCCTGGGTAGGAGGCTGCTGACGAGGTTTTAGCTGAGCCACTCTGTCTGCTGTCCTCCTTGCAGTGTTGGGTTTATTGTCTTGAGGGGGGTCTCTGCAGCCACAGTGCCATCGCCAAGTAGACCAGCTCTTGATTTCGGCGCACGTCATCTTCAAGCAACTTGTATGATGCCACAACCGACAGTCTCCGCATCTCAGGCAGTCGTACCGGGCTCTCTTGTTGCAAAGTGGGCAGGTGTCGGGGCCTGGGTTCTTCTCAATATCGCCCGCTTGAGTTATAAGATGTCGCAGGTCAGCGGCGTACTCTGGACACCATGGCACAAACACCATTCCTCCGGTGGGTACACTTGGGCCGTGGAATTTGGAGGGATTGCTCCCCACATCTGCCGCCGAGGTCTTGTGACCGGAAGGCATACACAATGGCAGACCTAAAGTAGTGTTGCAACAAATGTTCAAATCAACATTTCGAACGTTTGACACGAACATTCGAACGTTCATTCGAATGTTGAACTTCCCAGAGCAGCAATTTTTTTCCACAAAAAAAACTGGAACCTTCGCAAAAAAGTAATCGAAATATTCAATTTCGAGTCACGTAGTTAACAAATTCCAATTATCACACATGGTTAGCAGCAGCTATAATTCACTTCAATCATTTTGAACTGAATTAAACAAAAGCCGATGCGATTTTGATCCTTCTTCAACCAATTACCGAGCAGCATGTGTGAATTGCAATTATTCACACTCACATGACATTTTTGTTCTAGAATAATCTATATTCGAATGATGAAATCAGCATTCGAACGTCAATCTTGCGAATGAACCTTCGAACTATTGTTGCAACACTACGCTAAAGCTTCGTCCTGTTGAAGAATACAACCATTGGGAAACAGTATGGATGTATAAGGAAGAAACTAT